AGTCTCTGTGCTACATGGCAAGGCCTTCTTCAACTTCCATTTCTTCCTTTTGGGTACTCCACACTGCGTCCTCAAACTAGCCATGACCTCTCCCTTCTCTCAACTCCTGAGGTTCTTTGCTCTGCAAAGAGGCAGTGTAGCTTAGTGGTTATGAACACAGATGGTCTAGGTTTAGATCTTGGCCCTTCCCTCTCTTGGAATATGATTTGGTCAAGTTCTTTCATTCTTCTTGCCTGAATGTTCTCCAGTGTTAAGGGGGTGTATCAGTCAGGATTCTGCTGCAGAGAACAGAATTTGCTCTTACTAATTAAAGCAGAAAATGACGTGCTATGGGCTACTGACTAATACAGAGCACGTTTGAATTGTCAAGTAAAAAGATTTTAATTTGACCTTTCTGAAGACTCCCATGCCACTTTGCAGAAATAGATCACCATGTGCCTCTTCCACAACAAGAAGTTTCCTGCTGGAGGGAAAAGCTGAATGGAAGGGCAAGAGCCATGCCCACCTTCTCTGATCCAGCCAATAAAATGCATGTCCCATGCTTTCCTCTTGACACCCACAGAAACAGTGACTGGCTAGCATGACTGTAGGCAAACCACATTGTTCTATATCCATTTTTATAAGCAGAAAGAGCAAAGTGTGTCCTCTGCCTCACTTCCTCCTTCCAAATCTGAAGGCCAGTGCTTCAGAGTGGCCAGATCTAAACTACATCTAGTACCCTAGCTGCAAGGGAGTCTGGGAAATGACTTTTGGGTTTGTGGCCTCTGCATTTCAGAAAAGCACTGGTTGGAATGAAACTTGACTGTTAACTCACCATAAATAATATCCATATGAAGTAAGTAAGTGCACCTACCTGATCAGTTTGTTGTAAGGATTACAGGAAATAGTATGAAGTATCTGAAACAATGCCAGACACATGGGAAACTCCCAATACATGTATCTGTTTTCAACAGTCAATTTCTCAGATTGTGGTCCTGGGCAAAGTCCAAGTCTTTTGGATAGAGCCCCAAATTTCCCACCTACTAATAACTTTGATGAACCCACATTATTATTACATAAAAGAACCAGTTTTCTCATTGACAAAGTGGGGATAATAATCACTCTCTATCTCATAGAGTTTCTGCTCATATCACGTTAGATCATATGTGAAAGGTGATTTGAAAATTGTAGTGATTGCTCTAATGACTTTGATGTTAAATGGATCTAGGTGAATTGGAAAGTTGCAGAGTTGTGCTCAAATTCCAGTTCTGCCCCTGAGAATAGCAGTCTACTTCCTGCAGTTTCATCTTATTCACCCTTGCGTCATTTCTCCCATTTAATTATCAGAATTAGCCACAGAAATCAAACAACTTCACCACATGCCCATGAGGAAAACAAGGTTCAGATACTGCCATAACCACTTCCTCAAAGAGGAGAGATCAGGCCTTACCCAGCTCTTCAAAGCCCCCCGCCCCGAGTTCTCTCCAGGAGACCCTCTGTCTTCCATCCACCAGTTTCTGCAACTGAAGGACCAAGCAAAGAGGCTCAAACTCAAGGAAGAGACAGGTGGCTTCAGAGAAAGCACTGTAAGGCATTCTCCCCGGGGAAAGAAATTCCGAGAGTTTAGCTCATTCTTTCCTGCCATAAAGCACACTGGATGTTAACAGCTTGCTCCTGTCCAAGCTGGTGTTTTTTAAATTAAGTATTGTTAAATCCATACCATTTGGAATGATGCTTCAGACAGCCCTGACACTCTCTCTCTCGCCTCTGCTTTCACTTCACCTAATATATTGTGCATGGAGCCAGGAACCCGTATTACGGCTGCCGTGGCTTCTGCTGGTGCTGCTGCTCAGACACTTGCAGACGGCTTTAATTTAGATACCTGAAGAGGAAAAAAGGAACTCGGCCAACGCCCTGCTCAGATGCCATAAGGGGCCTTTCCCGGCTGCTGTTAGTATGGATATAGATTACCTAAAGGTTTATGTTATTTTTCCTCCACACTAAAAAAGGGTTTTAGAAATGAGAAAGTTGAGAGACAGATGCCGTGGGCTAAAATAAGATACTTTCCATCATCAGGTAACATATACCCATAGCAAACCCTGGTAGACTTACTACCTTCTTCTGCGTTTGCTATAAACATCCTTCTTCGCCCACGTCATTGCCAACATTTGAATATGTGCATGTGCACGTGTGAGTGCATGCATACCTTAGATATCAGCATATCCAAAGGGCACCAAAAAATGTATACACATTTTAAGAAAGGGAAAACTGTATTAAAAATGGTATACTGATAGCAAAAGGTGAATTCAAGTCACGTTTGAATTCTGCCATTACAAGAGGTGCTCAAAGTAGTTACCAATGGTGTCCAGACACTTCTGACTGTGGTGAACTAAAAGTAATACATAGGTAACATCTCTTAAAATGTGTGTATGTCTTTTGGGGTGCTCCTAGTATATATGAATATGAGAACAGAATGGATTTAGTGTCAGAAAACCCTGGTCCTAGTCAGTAGGACCTCAGTCAAGTCCCTTGACTTCTCTGAGTCTCAGTTTCCACACATATAAAATGGGGTGAGTACTTAAACAATTTCACAAAGTAGTCATAAAGGTCAAAAGAGATTATGGATTCATTCTGCAAATCTTAAAGATATCACATAAACTTTATTATCAAACTTAACTTATTCCAAAAACTTTCCCCGATCACCCTAACCCAAATTGACTTTGCTCTCCTTTCTCTGAAGTTACAGTAAACTTGGAATTTCCCCTGTACCATGTAACTCTCAACTATGCAATTGCTTTTTCTAGTTTTTCTGGGTATTTACAACAGGAAAGGCAATCCTATGAGGGACCAGAAACATGAGACACTGTGATGGGCTTCCCCTAGGCACTTAACAAATGACTGAAGCCGTGACTTAAAAAGAATGTATTATTCGGTGACTTCATTTAGATGACCATCTTGACTTACACTGGCATGTCCATCAAAACTCCAAGGCAGAAATTTTCAATTCAAAATACCTAAACAGTATTTATTTCCAAAGCAGAAAGGAATCCAGACTAGCATACGAGTGGCTACCGTTTATTTTCTAACTATGCCAATTTCTTTCCTATTTGTCTGCAGATAGTATCTTTTTCATCTGCAATGTTGCCACTATTCCTTCTTGCCCTACCTATTTTTCCCTTTGGATCTACCTAATGAGTAAGGTTTATGTGTGAAGAGGGAGGAGGCGAGTAAAATGTTCCATTTACAGAACTACTTGGAACTCTTATAAACGAATGACTCTGATATAGGAGGAATACTCTTCAAATAACCTTTAGCAGCAAACTCCAATGTGTAAAAGAAAGCCATCTATAGCACAGCTTTATGAATGAACATTTATTCCAATCAATCAACTTTTTTTTTTAACCGTGAGGAGAATTTCAGATAACAGCAATAGTGAATGAAGAAAGGCATTTTTACATCCACTTCTGAATGCTCTTTAGCTTATGAGCATTAGTTAATTTTTGAAAGATTCGTAAAATTAACCTTTCTGAAAGGGAAAAGCATATTTTAAGAATAGGACCTTTTTGTTAAGGATTTGTACATTTTTCTAGGTCCACATATTTAGTATGTAGGAGAAAGGTGAATCCTTGTATGCTCTTGACTTTCCTAATAGGTTGAAAATGGCATTTTTGAAGCATCTCTCTCTTTAATTGATATACCATATGAAGTAAGTCACCTGAAATTGAACAACCTGCTTCCTTTCACCTTTTTGAAAAGCAACACAGCAAATATGTTTAGAGGCAGAACTGCCTGTATTCACATGCCCATTATGGCTTGATCAAGTTTTCCATATTTGCGTGTTTCATACCTCTTGTCAGTATTTTTTTAATAATGAAAGGAAGGAACATTCATCTTAAATGCCTTCTACCTTCACCACGTGTATTTCTGGGCTATCGGGAGATCTGTAAAGGGAAAACTTCCTGGTGACACACCTATGGAAATGTAAGGCCAAGTTTGCTGTTTCTTCTTTTCAAAACTCAGTGATTTCCTTTGCAGATAAGGGGAAATACGCCCTTGTTAGACACTTGACACTTCTCTACCACAGTAATAAAATCTTCCTCTGGTAGAGTCAAGCCTTGCTTTCTGGTGGATTAGGCAGTTTCAGAAGCTTCCTGACCTTCCTGCACTGTAGCTAGCCTTGTCGTCATGCCACTGCTCGTTAGCACTTCCTCCAGGGTTGGACTGGCCTCGAAGGTCATTCCATCCAACCCTCTAGCAGCAGTGGACGGAATAGGGAGGTAAAACTCAGCTCAGCCTTTTCTGCATTGTAACAGCTCCAATAAAGAACGTGGGTGAGGTGCGGAGGAGGCTGAAACTGTTGGTAAAAAGAAAGGTTTGGGATTAACTGAGGATTTGATTCATCCTTTCTTTCCCTCCCGCTGCTAAAGCAGATAGTTGAGAGTTGGCAGGGTGTCAAAACCAAGCTGTTCCTCCACTCATCCTGGAGTCTTTGTTAAGAGCTTCTTTTTAAACTAAAGGATCTAAATTTCTAATTGTGCCTTTAGAATGAGTAAACCTTGGATGTTTCACATTTGTCACTTTACAAAGAAGTCACTTACTTTGGGGTTTTTTTCCCCCTTCCAATGAAGTCTTTAGCACAAGAAATAACTTATGCCACCGTCTAGGTTTAAGGCACTTTCAAAAACGTATATGGTATTTCTTTTCCAAGTCAAGGGGGAAAGTAAAGAAGAACTTTCTGGAGGAGGAAGAGAGCAGTTGCACAGAACACGTTTAAAGGGCACATGAAGTCCGTTTTTGTCTATGGTTCTTTCTCCTGATGGCATATGTTACATATTGACAGGGATTAAGTTTCTCTCCTGAATGGAACAATACACAGCCACAGGGAGCTACTGTACTTCACAAAGCACCAGACATCAGCACAGGCAAATGGCAAATAGAAACGTATCTCACAAAGAACTAACCAGGTTCACGAGAAGCACAATGCTTTGCTTCATCGCTTGCAGCTCTGCATCTTTTGCATGTCTCTCCTGGCTCTGCTGGTCTCCTGCCTTCTTTCTGTCCTTTTTTGCTCGCACTGTTACGCTTTCTCTGTCCCCCCTGGCTTTGTTATTCAGCATGTCTGATTAGCAGGAGCCTGATTGGCTGGCTGCCTGCTCCGAGAGAGATTCCATTCAGCTTACCCCCCACCCATCCACCCACCCACCCCTCGGTCAGGAAATGTGAGCGGGGCTGATGGAAGCTGATAGGCAGGACTGGAGTGTTAGCACCAGTACTGGATGTGACAGCAGGCAGACGAGCACTTAGCAGCTTATTCAGTGTCCGATTCGGATTCCGGCAAGGATCCAAGCATGGAATGCTGCCGTCGGGCAACTCCTGGCACACTGCTCCTCTTTCTGGCTTTCCTGCTCCTGGTAAATGCCTTTTCATCTCCATACGTTGCCTTGCCATTGAGTCTGGGTGCTGCGGGAGTGATGTGTGGCGTGTGTGTGTGTTTGTGTATATGTGTGTGTGTGTATCTTTATCTTAAAACTCCAGGTAAAATAACTTATATGGTTGTTTTTTTTTTAAAAGAGAAAACTCCTTTTAACTTCTCAGGCAAAGTCAAGTCTGCAGGACTTTCTGGAATTAGTTACGACTATATAATAACACTCATACTGAGACATGAACTTTGGGATCTACTGCATAGAGTTTGTGAGCTGAGGACTGTATAAACGGTGGTGTGTATGCTTGGAATTTGGATAACAGACATCCTGAAATCAAACTCAGTCACTGTGGTGTTCCTGGAATTTGTTGAAGGATAAGCTGTGAGGGGCTCCCCCCTACTGCCTTTTATGAATTATTTTCTTTCTGTGCACATGTACTATGGAACCAGGTAAAAGGGGGTATGAGAGTTTCTTTGCAGCCAACCTAGATTATAGCTCATAATTGCTGCAAGTCATTTATGGATACAAGTTAATGCCGGTATTTGTGAATTGAGGATTACGGTCTTTGATCTCAAACTTACTTTTGAAGAAGAGGGAAAAAATGATGACTTTCTGTGCGGCTGATTTCCACAGTCATAGTGATAAGATGCTCTGCTCTTGAACATCAGGACACACTGCATTTTTGACTCAAAGTAAATGTTCCGTTGTGACTCATACTTGGTTTTATGGGCAGCAAATGAACATTTACTGTCCAAAAAAATTCTACACTCAAAATATTAATAGCAATGCACATTTTTTTAAACCAGAGTGTTCTGGGCAGGCAGCTTCGTAAACCTCATCTGAGGTTTGATTCCAAAATTTGAGCACTCTGATCCAAACAAACGTGATTGTAGCCCTCGCTGTCACATTTATGACATGCCTGAACTTCCTCGGAAGGTAACAAGGCAAGAGGGGAACAAGGTAAAAATGCAGTGAATGTATAGGTTGCACTGATTCATTGATGGGGAAGGAATGTTTTATTCTGATTAGATTCTGACAAATCTGATCTGCACTGTAACTGTGAAGAAGGAAAGGAAGCCATTTGGTGCAAATGGAAAAAACTCCAGGAAGGTTTATCAGATAGAGTGATCAGACAGTGATGAAATATTTTGTACATTCCCATTTCTTAACGATTTGTATCCTTGTAGCTAAGAAATTACAATGCTGCATTGCAAGTGCTATCAATATAGAAATATATTTTTCATTTTTCATACAAGCATAAAGGCAAGCTAAATTTTAAGCATGAATGGACTATATGTTTTAACTGTGCTGAAGACTATAACAAACAGAATGTTTAAGTGTGCTTTATGACTTCTGGAGCCCACAATTTAGGAAAGGTGTCTCATGTTTTCCATAGGGGATATGTTAGTTACACCATTAGTTTGTCTTGTCTTTCTTTCTTGTGAGTTTTTTAAAGTTTGTGTTATTTTCCCATTACGTTGCATCATAAAGCAAATTACCAGTACACATTACTTTTTAAAATATTTTCATATGGAAGTATGACCTCATTATACTTTAGTAAAACTTTCCCATTCAGGAATAGATTGTTTTGCCACCCGCAGGAAATGTATCCTATTCCTCTTTGATATCTCGAATAGCCACATATGTAGTTAAGCATATAATTAGACTTATGTAGAAAAAAAGGAGTGTTTGCCTATTTGGGAAGAACTTAAAATGCATTATGTTCAAATGACAATCATTGTATTATGAAGGTAAAATGAAAACAAACCTAGATTTGTTTTATGCCTGCATTTAAAGGAATTAGAAATCCAAGAGGTAAACCACAAAAGAGAAGAACTGACTGATGAGAATCTACATACATTCCCATGCACAGTAATACCAACATTAGTAATAGCTGTCATGTATTTTGTGTCTGAATGTGCCAAGCACTAGAACTAGTTGTTTGAAAATCATTACAGTGAATCCTTAACACAATCATGCCAATAAGGCATTTCAAATTCATTTTACAGATAATGAAACAAACTTATGTTTGAACCCAAAGGTCAAATAATGGAGAGACAATGACTTGTTTGCTTTATACTTTGGTTGGAAATATGTAGTAATAATGGAAACAGTGGTGTGGCTTGGCCTGGACTCTTGTTGGAGATATTTAAGCCTTTTGCATGAGCTTGATCATTAAAGATATATACATGATAATGAGTACTTGTTACATTTGCTCGTTAACTACCGCCTTTAACTTTGTTGCCAAAATTAAATCATTGACTTAAGAGAAAGTGACCTTTAGCCTGATCTATAGTTGACTTAGAACTAAGAAGTGTGGCATCATCAGCTCAACCTTCAGGCTTGATAGAGAAATTGAATTGGAGAGGCTTGTTTTTAATAGTTCTTGTATACATTACAGGATTCTATTTACTCTTAGACTTATTTTAAGCAATTTCTAGGAGTCTCTCTAACTTAATTGGAAACCATGCTGTCTGTTTAGTGGCAAGGTCAATTTATACCTCAGCAAAAAGACTTTATTTAACTAACAGTGTATCATCTGTATCACAACTTGGTTCTTGAGTGTGTACAAATATTGAATGTTGTTCAGCCTGAATTTTGTCAAAAGCCTTTCCCCTTGGAACAGTATTCCTAAAAGAATGGGCCCCCAGTGTCTTTTGTATCTATTTTAGGTTATTACCCATATTTTCATGTGTTGAGCATACATCTTAGACTTCTGTTTTACTTAGGACACAATAGGACAGTAGTACTGATCAAGATATTTTATGTCGATATTCAGGTCAATTTAAGCCACGTATCACCACTTTCCCAATCTTCCCATCCTGCTCTCCTTTTTTAATTCTCTCTCCTTTGTCCAAATTGTTTAGCTCAAAAGGAATGTGACAAAAACCATGACCGGCCATTGACATATGTGTCCATCTACACTTGAAGTCAAATCACTTCTTGTCAGGAAGGCATTTAACCAAATTTGCATTTGCCTTCTGTTTCTTTTAAGTGGTTTTGGGCTCTTTCGCCTGCTATTGTGAGAGTTGCAAGAGTAACACTAGGAATTATAATAAAGTACATGTGTTTTTCTGTTGAATTTCTTTTTCTTCTCTGCACTAATTTATACATGGCAACTAGTCAAACACAATAGCCCTTTTCCTTCAGTCCCTCTGGCCCTCTCTTCCACTATTATCTAAGTGGATCTATCTTGGATAGGGAGAAGCACCATTAGCTTGTGGAATGAATGTTAAATCCCTTATTTATAGCAGGCGGTGGCCTGTTCCAACAGTGTGTGTGTGTGTGTGTGTGTGTGTGTGTGTGTGTGTGTGTGTGTGTCCATGTATGTCTCTGTGCATGCTCAAGCCCCTTTCTATAACTACCCAGTGTTCAGTCTACGTCTAATTCTTATTCTCTGATTGTGTTTAAATCAGATTTAAGGACTTTTCAAATAAATCTGCAGAACGTAGTGAAGTATTTATTTTAAAATTATTTTCTTCATGTTTTGTGAAGTTTCTTGTCTAGACATGGTCAGCTACATTTTGTTTTCTCAGGCTCCTGTTTTTAGTGTTTCAGTCTGTTCAGGACCACTTTCTGGCCTCCATGATTATTTTCATGTGCACCAGTTTCCTTGCTTCATATAAGTTGAGGGAAGAATGTCCAATAGTGGTCACTAGTGAACTACCGAAGAATCCTGTTACACCAGGAAAGTTTTTCCTTGGAAGGGTATATGGATACTGAAGACTTTTGAAAGGAAGCAAGAACGCATAAATGAATGCATATACATGTTTGTGCATTTATAAGAATATTAATACATGTTGATACCCATTTGCAGTGATGGATAAATAAATTGGAAAGCAGTTCTCTGGGGCTCCCTGGGCTAGGCTTTTACTCAAATTTAGGAGCTGCACAAAGTTTATTCTTACATACTGATAACAAAATGCAAGTCAGAGTTTGTGCAATTTTTATCAGAAAAGTGTGGTTAACTCCTATACAAGTTACCCATTTATTAAAAACTCAGTTTATTTTGGGTACATTTTGCACAAGGATTATGTAAGGATGTTACGAGTTCTGGTGTTTTGGTTCTCCTCTTTATTATGGCTTAAATCAAAATATAATTTTTAACTCTCCCAGGAAAAATACAGTGTCCTGTGAATTTCTGCCTTTCCTGCAGCACCTAGTACAGTGCCTTGTAAATACAGGCAGAAAAGCTGTTTGTGAGCTAAATTAAAAGAGAAAAGGACTCACAGAAACCATCACAGGGTTCTCTAATTCCTCTCATTTTCGGTGTTTCCTAATGTCATATACACAGTCTAGTTTCTTTGGTAAAGTGACAGTTCTGCTTTTAATTTGTGTATCTCTCAATTCCCAGGAATGACATATCCTCAGGTTCAATTATTTTAGTTTCCTTCTGCCCTCAGTAAGCATATTGTACTGTTTCTATAGTCTCATGAGTAGAGTGACCCAGAAGTGACCTCTCCATAGCATAAGGACCAGAGTCCTTTCTGGAGTGAGAGCATTCCTTGAATCACCATGAATAACCTACTGGTGAAGTGTGTTGAGATAATCACAGGAAAATGTGTCTGAACCAAGTTTTACAGTCTTGTCGTTATAACTAATTTTCTTCTTCTAGAGAGCTGGCTTCAAACATTGTGTTTTCACCAGAATGAGACAAGTGCATGTCATTTTCTGTCTACATCATAAAAACCATACCATGTGGTTGGATTTTGGCTTGATTGGCAGTACTGGCTCATGAGTGGCTTAGGACTGGCATACCAGAGGTGATGTAAGTCCTAAAGGATCCTAATTGAAATAGGCCAGCACAGCTGTGTGGGGAGCCTGCCTGCTAACTGGGGTAAGCTGTTGCTATCAACCCCTTCTTTCCATGAGCTCAAAAATAAATGACTAAATCTCCCCAGTTCCCGAACTTCAAGATTAAAACCTATATTGAATAAAGCTTAACTGTTCTGTTTCCCCTCCCAAGGACTTTGCTAACTGGAGCACCC